CCCCCTCCCCCCCCTACACCCCCTCCCTATCTCTGTCACCTCCTCTAGCCCACTACACCCCCTCCCTATCTCGGTCACCTCCTCTAGCCCACTACACCCTCTCCCAATCTCTGTCACCTCCAGCCCTGATACCCACTCCCTATCCCTGTCTCCTTCCCCAGCCCTGACACCCCCTCCCTATCACCCCCTGACACCTCATCCAGCCGGACACCACTCCCTGTCTGTCACCTCCTCTAGCCCCTAAACTACACCCTTTCCTATCTCTGTAAATCCCCCAGCTTCTACACCCCCACCCATGTCTGTGACTTTCCCCAGCCCTTACACTCCTCCCCATCTCTGCAACCCCCTTCAGTCTCTACGCCCCTCCAATCTGAGGGTCTTGCCCATCCCCTGATTTCCCTTCAATCTGACAGACCTAGCTGCACCCCACAACCCCCCACACCCCCCACAAACCCTTAACCTCATCCTGTCTTTCTCTCTCTCTCCTCCCTCTACGACACTCCTTAAAAGCAAGCTCTTTGACCGAGCTTCAGGAACGCTCCAACAATTGCCTTGGGGCAGGTTCTATCTGAGAATGCTCCTTCGAAGAGCCTGGGGGCATTTTATTTGTTTGCAGGCGCTACGTAAGTGCCGGTTCTAAGCAAGGGATGGAAGATACAGGAAGTTGGTTGGCGGGGGGAGGGCGGGTGTCAGTCAAAAAAGATGAGTGTGATGGGAGGCTAAATGACAAGACAGTGTGACAAATTTAAAACTCTGGGATCCAAGACACACAAAATGCCAGTGCACAGAAAACTAAGGGCCATTTGCAGGCAAATGGGCTTCGTAGAGTTTGTTGGCCAGTACAGACATTTGGTGGGCCAAATGGCCTGTTACCATGTTGTGTGACTCTGTAACCAGAGGAACAAGAAAAGGAACACTGAAGCAGACAGCAGCTTATGTGTAAAGCTGGTCACTGAGTGACATCAGCACTTAATCAAGTCGAAATAAAGATTAATTTATTCTGGACTGGGAAAGGCTCTAGACTTCAGTGAACGAGCTGACAGATGCTACTAACAACTCAACCACAAGAGGCATTTAACTGTGAACAGTTTTGGGCCCCTTATTTCAGGAAAGAGAGAGACTGGAGGCAGTGCAGACACGATTGATCCGAGGGATGGAGAGACTGTCTGATGAGAGTTTGAGCTTATACTTATTGGGGTTTAGAAGAAGGAGAGGCGACCTTATTGAAATATACAGGATTCTTAGGGGGATGTGGAGAGGATACTCCCCCTTGTGTGGGAGAGTCTAGGACCAGAGGGACATCGTCTCAGAGTAAGGGGTCGCCCACTGAAGACAGAGATGGGGAGGAATTTCTTCTCCCTGAGGGGAGTGAGTCTGTGGAATTCTTTACCACAGCGGGCTGTCCAGGCTGGGTCATTCGTATGTTTAATGAGAGATTTTTACTCAGGAAGGGAATGGAGGGTTAAGGGTGGGGGGAAAGGCAGGAGAAGTTGGAGTTGAGGATGAGCGGATTAGGCATTGAATGGCGGGTCAGACTCGATGGCCTATTTCTGCCCCGACATCTACAGGCCCCTCGATCTTAAAATTCAAAGCCTTTGCACAAGTGATTCAGGAGGATGCGAGAGGCGCCAGAGAAATGCAATTCCAGGACTTTTTGCATCACTGTCAGTCATAGACGTCAGGGTGCCCGCTTTGCAGCACCGGAGGGAGGTGGGGTGGGGTGGGGGGGGGGGGTGTTGCTGCTGTGGAACTGATCTTTGCAGGAAAGGGGGCAGGGAAGCTGCGAGCTATCACAACCACTGCAGTACAAAACCCTTGTATCACTGTTGCAGCAGCACAGGAGCTGCTGTAGAAGATGTGCTGACTCCAGCACTGTACGCACAACTGCAACTCGACTGTGGGAATCTGAACAACTTCACGAGAACAGAATCTCTCCCCTATCCGTCTGCTGTATTCTCCTTATCCTACAGATTGAACTGTTGTATTGACACCCTCAAACACTCCCAGGACAGGGACAGCATGGGGTTAGACACAGAGTAAAGCTCCCTCTACACTGTGCCCCCATCAAACACTCCCAGGACAGGGACAGCACAGGGTTAGATACAGAGTAAAGCTCCCTCTACGCTGTCCCCCACATCAAACACTCCCAGGACAGGGACAGCACGGGGTTAGATACAGAGTAAAGTCCTCTCTACCCTGTCCACCGTTAAATACACAAAGGACAGGGTTAGATACAGAATAAAGCTTCCTCTACACTGTTCTCCCCTCCGCCACCACAATCAAACACTCCCAGGTCAGGGACAGGGGGTTGGATACAGAATGAAGCTCCTCTACACTGTGCACCCCCCCGCCATCAAACATTCCCAGAACAGGGACTGCATGGGGTTAGATAAACAGTACAGCTCTCTCTACCCCTTTAAGCCAAACAGAGAGCTACCTCTACCCATTTAAACAGAAAGCTCCCTGTATTCTCTTAAACTGAAAATAAAGTTCCTCTACACCATCCCCATCAAATACTCCCATGGCACGGAGTTAGGTACAGAGTAAAGCTCATTCATTTAAGCTAAAAACAAAGTTTCTTCTCCACTGTACCCAATAAGCACACCAAGGATAGGGACAGCAACAAGTTATACAAATTAAAGATCTCTCTACTGTTTTACATTCAAAGTTCTCTCTACACTCTCCTGATCAAAGAATCCCTGGACAGGGACAGCACGGGGTTAGATGCAGAGAAAAAGCTCCCTCTACACTGTCCCCCCCCC